CAATTTTAGATATTTTGGAACCATGGAACATTCAGAAGGTACATCCAATAGAAAACAGAAGAGAAACATATTTCACTCGACTAGACTGTGTTAAGAAACAAACCCCCATTTTTTTCTTATATATAACAAAAGTTTGTTTCTTGCTTAGAATACATATCAGCTGAACCTCTGTCACGTTGGTTGTCTTCATTCTTTGATCATACCTGAGACAGCAGCCCTCATCAGGGGCGTGCCCAGAGCCAGCCTTGCAGTGACTCCAAGTTTTTGCTCAGATGCATCCGACACCACATCAGCTTATATTCCATACAAGTCACATGGCCTAAGTCAGCATCAGTGGGGTAGGAAAGAGTACTCCCACAGAGGGAGCATTGCAAGTCCTATGGTAAATAAGCCAGGAAATAAGATCCTCTTTCAGGAAAAAGAAGTAAATAATTTGAGGCAATAATACAATCTACCACAAGTTTGGAAGTGTCATGGCGTATAAAAGAGATATAAATTTGAGAATCGTTAGTGTACAAGTTGCAGTTGAAGCCATGGGAATAAAGTCACAGAGTATTTTAGACTTGTGAGAAATGTCAAGAAGAAAACTATTCTCTACATACACTGCCATATATACCATTGCACCATTGCTCATAATGTTGTCTTATCCAGAGTGCCCTATTGGTCACTCTCACATCCAAACTCTGTTTATAATAGTGTGGTAGATGTTAGTGCGATTTTTTTTTTTTACCTCTTCTTAACAACACCCTGACTTCTTTATAGGAGTATTAGCTCTCCCTACTGTACAGTTTTGTTAGGTGGTAAGACTAGCTGTTTGCTTTTCCACTGTAGGAGCTGAAAGGGCCCCCAAAATCTTCTTTGACTGCATCTTTCCTTTTACTGTCCTACATTGTCAAGGGGTAAGTTGCATAAACTCAGCCAGTTGGATGCTTGTGAGAATTTGACTCCTGAATAAATGCCACAAGGACAAGTGAGAGAGTTGTTCATTCAATCCAGCAATGGAATCTGCTCTTACAGTGTCAACTTCCTATCCCTCTGCAACAGCTTGGATCCATATCCATTTCAAAGTGGGTTCTCCTGCTTTCCCAGCAAATCTGTGAGCTCTTCGTAATAACAGTATCCTTGTGATAAAACTTATTACCTTTAAATCATTTAAAGTTGGTATATTAGTCAGTTCAGATTACCATAACAAAATACCATAGACTGAGTGGCCTAACTACAGAAATGTAATTTCTCAGTCCTGGAGGCTGAAAGTCCAAGATTGGGGTGCCAGCATGGTCAGGTTCTGAGTCAGAGCTCTCTTCCTGACTTGCAGATGGCCACGTCTTGCTGTGTCCTCACATGCGAATTGGGGAGGGTGGCAGTCCTATCAGACCCCACCCTTATGACTTTATTTAACTCTACTTACTTCCTAAAGACCCTATCTCCTGACACAGACACATTAGGGGTTAGGCCTGAGAATGAGGGCATACTTTCTAAAGGCAGAGGTACTAGAATATTGACAGTGATACTAAATCATTAGTATTTAAAATAACTTCTGAATCCAATCAGCCAAATGAGAGCAGCTGGTCCCTGGGAGACTGGGCTATTAGTGACAAGCTTTTGACCTTACTAGGATATAGAATCTGAATCAAGTTTCAGACCCCAGGTATATAAATTGTTTCACTACCCCTTAATGGCTGCATATTTGCAAGTGTTGTAGGCAATTCAGAGAGGAAGCAAATGGGTTCACTTTAGTCTTTTAGACACTTTGAGATATTAAAGCAGACCAAGCACCACTATCCTGGAGGCACAATGGCTGTTTCTCTGTTTTATAACCTTCTTAGATTTGATCTCTTTGAAGTTTAATTTATTCTGCACTTCCGGTGCATTTCTTTTATGCATTAATATACAACTTTTTGACATCTAGAAATTCAGGTGCTACATGATGGGTGAGCAGTTTCATTTCTCAGCACATAGGTTTTCCTCATTCCACAGTCTCACTCGAGTCCTTCACCCAATCTCCAGAGGCAAAATAATCATAATTATAATAAAATAAAAATTTAAAGTAATAAATTTTACGGTTTACATTACACTTCCCTCAGAATACAGACACCTTTTTTGAAATTCTCTCAATATTCCTGCAAGGAAGGAAAATGCAGTGTTACTGCCACTTTGAAAACAGTAAAAAAAAAAAAAAAAAAGCCTAGAGTTTATCTATGTAGACTTTTGGTAATATTTCTCTAATACTGTCCATGGACCACTAGCATCAGAATTACTGGGGGGCTTGCTCAAAATCCATATTTTGAGTGCAACCCCAATTCTATAAGAACAGACTCTTTTAGCAGTTTAAGGCATCAATCCTCAGGTGATTTTAGTGTACATTAAAGCTATTTTATCCTACTTTTGGACATAGGGTTTGAAAAATGAAAACCTCAAGAGGACGAGTGATTTGGCTCATTCCCCCAGATGTCCCCATCACCTAGAACATTGGCTGACATTTACCACATACTCAGATATTACTGGTTAAGTAAATGAACAGAAAAGAACATGAAGTCATAAGCTTAAAATAGGAATAACTAGAAATAGGAGGAAGCATTGAAACATGTTAGAATTCTGGTTCCATTGTTTATCAGTGCTTGACCTTGGACAAAAACTCAACCCCTCTGTTTCTCAAAATTCTCAAGGAGACCATAGTAATAGTATTACTGGCTTAGCTTGTTGTGAAGAAAAAATAAATTTAAATATACAGAGTGCTTAGAACAATTCTTGTCTAAAACACTCAAAAATTTTGTTATTTAGCAGTAATCAGCCCAAGGTCAGGCATCTCATCTCAGCCAGATCTGACCTGGATTTTCTCACTCCTTCAACACTACTATATATTTGTGTGTGTGTTTTTTTTTAATTTTATTTATTTATTCATGAGACACAGAGAGAGAGGCAGAGACATAGGCAGAGGGAGAAGCAGGCTCCATGCAGGAAGCCTGATGTGGGACTCAATCCCAGGACTCCAGGATCATGCCCTGAGCTGAAGGTAGACACTCAACCACCGAGCCACCCAGCTGTCCTTAATATATATTTGAATGACTTGGCATACATCAGAAGGACTCCTCTTTCCAAAATAACACTTTCACCACGCTATTTGGTCTTTCATATATATGGGTAGAAATTTCCACCATTGCAGTCATTTTTCTAAAGTAGATAGGGAAACAGCGACTGTTTTCTAGTAAAACAAGCACCTGTTACTAAGGATGGAGTGGCAGACACAAACGAAGCTCTCCTTTTTTTCCCATTAGCTACTTTTCTCCTTTCACCCCGGCCAAAGATTAGTTGTGTCAGTGTGCCCATCAAGTAGATTCTGGAGGTCCACACAGAGATACACGCTCCTCCAGCCTCAAATCTGGAATACATACTTTTTTTTTAATTGCTGGGGTTAAAGAGAAAGGGGGTGAAGGAGTGAAGGGGTAAATTTTTTTTTAAGATTTTATTTACGTATTCATGACACACACAAACACACACACACACACACACACACACACACACACAGGCAGAGGGAGAAGCAGGCTTCCTGCCTGGAGCCCAATGGGTGACTTGATCCAGGACCCCAGGATCAGGACCTGAGCCGGAGACAGAGGCGCAACCACTGAGCCACCAAGTGGCCCTGAGGGGGTACATTAAAAACAAAAAACAAAAAACAAAAAAACAAAAAACTAGGTGGATACAGAATTTTAAATCCTGAAGACATTCAGTTAACAACCTCTTTTTGTTTTGTTTCTGTTCAATCTAAAGCACTAAACCCCTTCCTGGGGTCAGCATTGATTTTAAACCAATATGAAGACAGAAACGACCACCGTCCCACAGATCCTGGCATCTCAAAGGAAGAACAAAGTAAAAGCTGTTTTTTTTAAAATTTTTTTTTATTTATTTATGATAGTCAGAGAGAGAGAGGCAGAGACACAGGCAGAGGGAGAAGCAGGCTCCATGCACCGGGAGCCCGACGTGGGATTCAATCCCGGGTCTCCAGGATCGCGCCCTGGGCCAAAGGCAGGCGCTAAACCGCTGCGCCACCCAGGGATCCCTAAAAGCTGTTTTCTCAAAGTCTGCTCCCTAGATCTACATTCGATAATTTTGGCAGCACGGTGGGGACAGATTTGGACCGGACACGAAACCCTTTTCACAAGAATTTGATTAAATCAGATAATTAAAACAAAACCAGAAAACTTCCTTGTTCCTTCACCCGGGAGGCGCACCCCAGGTAAGGAGAGGGCACTTCAGGGGGGGACGCTTGTGTGAGGACGGCATTTGCGGGGGGGGGATGGGGGGAGTGGGGGGACAGAAGGTGGTAACTAGAGCTGAGATGTAAGAGGGCACGTAGCACGAGAAACAGGACAAAAGCAGCAAGCCTAGGGGCGAGGGTGAGAAGGAGAAACAGGAGTGATGGGGGGGGACACTTTAAAAGGCTAGAAAGGGGCAGCCCGGGGGGCCCAGCGGTTTAGCGCCTGCCTTTGGCCCAGGGCATGATCCTGGAGACCCCACATTGAGTCCCTCACGGGGCTCCCTGCCGGGAGCCTGCTTCTTGCTCTGCCCGTGTCTCTGCCTCTCTCTCTCTCTCTGTGTCTCTCATGAATAAATAAATCTTTTAAACAAAATAAAAATAAGTAAGTCAAAGGCTAGAAAGAGGGACACCTGGCTCCGCAGTAGAGGATCCGCTTTAGGCTCAGGTCCTGATTCTCCGTCTGGGGATCGAGTCCCCCATAGGGGTCCCCGCAGGGGGCCTGCTTCTCCCTCTGCCTGTGTCCCTGCCTCTCTGTGTGTCTCTCATGAATAAATAAATAAATAAAATCTTAAAAAAGAAAAATAAATAAAAAGGCAAAAAAAAAAAAAAAGAGAGAGAAGAAGAAGGCGGAGGTGGAGGGCCCCGGGGCGCCCAGGGCAGGGGGCGGGGCCAGCAGGGCGCCGGCGGGGGTGGGGCGGGGTCGGCTGGGCGCCCGGGGAGCCACACCCCCCGCCACCGGGTCGGGCGCTTTCCCGAGCTCAGCGGGAGTTTGCTGCGTGGACCGCTGGCAGGACCCCGGATGAGCGAGCCGCCTGCCGGGCAGGGGGCCTCGTGGCCCCGCCGCGCTGCGAACGCCGCCGCCGCTCCGTGCATCCCGGGGCGCGACAGGTCGTCTCCGGGCGCGGGGAGTCCGGCGGCGGCTGGGGCGGCGGCGGCTGGGGCGGCGGCGGGGGCGGGCGGAGGCCTGGGCGGCTCCCCCGGCGGCTCCCCCGAGACCCTCCCGGCCGCAGGCGGGCTGGACTGTGAGCCCTGGGTCCGAGAGAAGGTGCTGTTTCTTCTGCACCCCGAGAGGTGGCTGGGGACTCCAGGGGACCCTGCAAGGGGAGGAGTGGCCGGTGGGGAGGAGCTTTTCCCGGCGGCCGGAGCCGCCCGGGACCCCGACTGCCCTTCTCTCTTTCCGCGAGCCGAGCGGGTTTCCCGCGGCCGCGTAGGCGCGGCCCGCCCCGGAGCGCCCCCCAGGTCGGTGCTCGTGAGGGTCGTGGACTACCAGGCGACCGAGGAAGTCCTGTGGACCGCGTGGACCAAGGGCCTCACGGCCGCCCGCACCCAGGAGCGCTCCGTGACCGCGATCACTTTTCGCACCGGCAGGGAGTGAGGCGGCATGTGGGGGCGCAGGGCCGCGGGGACCCCCGGGCTCCCCCAGCGTCCGGGCAGGCGCCCCGGCCACGCCGCGCAGAGGTGACCTCACAGCCCCCTGGGACTGGACTGCCCAAGGACAGGAAACAGGAAAGAGGAACCGGAGGAGTGTTGCGGGTAGTGGGCGAGCGAGCATCCTTAGGAGAGTGCTGCTCCCGGAGCACCCACCTGCAGAGAACAGCGGGGACCTGGTACGAGGCCGCGGCAGCGCTGCGGGGAGGCGGCTGACACCCCACACCGAATGCAGAACTGTGAGCCACACCGTTCCTCCTTTGTGTCTTGAATATATTGTGACGGCCTGGGGCCCTAAGTCATGGGAAGACGGGAAGGAAAGGGGTCTTCACGTTGGTAAAATGTGGGCCTTTTGAAATACGAAAGTCCATTGTTGATTCTCACTTTGAAGTACATCTCCGTGGATGGATCCCTTCCCTGCCTCCCCCGCGCTCCTTAAGGCCTAAAATCAAAGGTCAAGTTTGAGGGCTGCTCTCTGCAAAGGGGGTGGGAGTAGATGGAGAGAGGGGCTTGTTTTAAAGCTGAAAAAGAAAGTAAAAAGAAATGAGAAAATTAAGGCATCAAGTAAAGAAAACCTTTTCCTTTCTACTTTCCCCTGATGTGCACATTTTCCTTTTTTTTTTTTTTATTAAGTTTTAGGAAAACAAAAAAGTGGAAAAAGAAGAGGGAGAGAACAGAAGACCCAGCTTTGAAGGTTAAATGCCTTAATTTAAAGGGGCTTCACCACCCCCAAAGTATATAGTTTAGTAAAAATGCTTTTTACCTGGTTTTTATTTATTTTAATGTTTTAAATATGGCAGATAAATCTGATCTAAAGGTAGATAATGTAGAGTTTGCCATAAAATATTTGTATATGTTACTGCTGTTTCTTATTAATGACATTTGTATTCAAAACTGGATTGAAAATACAAGTCTCTTCTGGTGCTATTGAAATAAATCTATTTGTTCCTCTTTTTTATTAAACATGACTTTTATTAAATTCTTGAGTAGTGTGGTCTGATTTGGAGATCTGTGAGGAGCAAAGCATTCCCTATAGAGACGAACTGCTTGACTTAAGCACTGTTGAAGAAGTATTTGGTTACTTCGAGAATTAATTTTTTTTATTATTATTTATTTATGATAGTCATACAGAGAGAGAGAGAGAGAGGCAGACATAGGCAGAGGGAGAAGCAGGCTCCATGCACCGGGAGCCCGATGTGGGATTCGAGATCCTGGGTCTCCAGGATCGCGCCCTGGGCCAAAGGCAGGCGCCAAACTGCTGCGCCACCCAGGGATCCCTATTTCGAGAATTGACAAAACAAATGGATGCTGGCTTTTGAAGAGTAGACTGTTGAACAGTGCCCCCTACCTCACTCCTCCCTCTTGGATCTTTATTTTCAGTTGAGAGATTGAAATGCCCTCAAATATCATCTGATCCATCTCTTACCTCCTGGCAGACAGATAGGTAAGATACATACCTATTTTACAGATGAGCCAACCTAGGTATAGAGGTCATGTGGCTTGGGTAGGTCACATAGGTAGTAATTGCATAGGCTTACTGAGTAGAAAAGAATACTATATTCTCCATCCTAAAGGTTTGAGAATGGCCTTTAGTGGGACTTGCTTGTAAGTCAAAAGATGACAGAGTGTCCTGGGTTGTCTGACTCATGTTTATGGGAAGTGCTAGAATTATCTTGATGCCCCCTTAGTCCTGCAGGGCCTGTTGGCTAGAGGATCACCACCAGCAGCTCTTAGGACTAAGAGATCCACACCTGAGGGAGGAATGCAGTACCTGACCTCATCTGTGTTCAAAGCTACTTGGGAGTAGAAAAGGTAATACAGGTCCCGTAAAGTGAATTATCTTTTCTTCCAACAACCCTGTCTGGCCCCTAAGTGAGGACACTTCTTGGCAGACAGTTTTCAGGCCTGTCTTAATGAATTGGTTGTGAGTCATAGTATATGCCCCAGGTGATTGAGCATTGAATATATAGTCAGCAAGAAAAGCTGCCCTAACATCAACCAAAACATCATTTGGTTGCCTTCTTTATGGAGGCCAACTCTAAGTTCAGCTTCTTGGGTTCAGAACTGCCCCACTTCTTACTTCTAACGGTGACTCCGGATAAGTGATTAATCTGTGTGTTTCTGTGTCCTTATCTGTTAAGTAGGGTTAATATATAGTATTAACCTCATAAGGTTTTTTTCCTAGGATTAAGTTAAATGAAAAATACTTAATGCTTTGCATATCATAAATGCTCAAAAGTTAGCTGTTACTATGAGTGTTGTGATTGTTCACTTTCATCTGAAGCAGGCTTTTAGTCTTTTATTTAAAAAAAAGAAAAGCTGAAGGCATACAGCACAAGGAATCCATACAACCCAAAACTGGTGATTTTTATTGACTCTCTTCTGCATTCCTGAAAGAAAAAACTTCTCTCTAGCTTTTCCCAGAATGTATTTAATGGATCAATAAATACATCCTTAAATTTGTTAGAAATGACCTCCACAGCTTGTGATAAATGTATCCTAATATTCAAAGGCCAAAGGTGTACATTGCTTGACAGGGTCTTTGAGGAGGTTCACTCTGCTTAGTTCCCCTTGGGCAGTAGGAGTTTTGAATACTTTAGGTATCAGGTTAGTTTTCCCTCTGGCATTTGTAAATCTGATGCCCTACTGTCTCAGAAAAACAGAGTAGACACAGTTTTTATTTTATCACCTTTCTGTCAAAAATGTATTTACTCAAATCAGCTTAATAACTCTTTTAGTCCAAATATGTTTAGGTTAATTTTATCTCAAAAATTGTTTTTAAAGCGCTCACCAACCTCCTCGTTAACTGCCTGCAAATGCCCTTACAGATTTCCTTCAAACCGATGTCTCCCAGATATGAAGTAACATGTTGAAGTACTATTGAATTTGCTTCACAGTTTTTCCTGATCCCTATTGTGTGAGGAGCCTGAGGGGTCTTTTCCCATTCACAGTGTCCTGGGAGTGAATCCAAAGGGAAACCCTAGTGTCCTGTGTTAAGAAATCTCCAAGAATGTCTGGGTCTTTGCTCTTTGGTCTTACTGCTGCTTTGTGGGGGAAAATAGGATCATCTCCAATTGTCCTACGTGGATTATTTCATAGCAAGGACTTCTGGAAGCCATCTGGCCACTCAAGTGACCATAATGCAAATATCACAACCACCATTAGACAAGTGTTGGCCTCTCTGAAAACTTTTTTCCACACCTTTGAGATTTATTACATTTGACTTGCTGCTCTTATTCTTGTTGGTTATCACCAATATGTAATGTGCCTTTTTGCTTATAAAAAAGGAGAAAGACAAGACTTCCTGTTAAAAGAAAAAGCTGGCTGTATCTGGGTGGTTCTGTGGTTGAGCATTTGCCTTTGGCGGAGGTTGGGGTCCTGGTGTTGAGTTCCACATCAGGCTCCCTGCATGGAGCCTGCTTCTCCCCTTTGCCTGTGTCTCTGCCTCTCTCTCTCTCTCTCTGTCTCTCATGAATAAATAAAATCTTTTAAACAATAATAATAAACATAAAGAAAGAAAAGAAAAAGTTATACTCCTTCTAGGAATGAAGTTTGAGGAATATTTTGTGAGAAAAAAGAAAATTAGGTGTAAAAGAAGAATTCACCCACGATTTCTTAATATTTGGTACGTTTCCAGTCTTGTTTTATGTATTTCATTCCATTTTTCATGTGTATATACATACCTATACATATACACACACTTTTCTTGGCATAAGCTATATATAAAACCTGAGTATTGTCAGTTACATAAAGTAAGGTACACTGATGCTATTCAAGGTGAACCAGGAGCAAGGGCATCTGTAAGAATTTTTTTTTTTTAATGCAGACTCTCAGGCCGCAGTCCAAATCTATTGAATCATAATTTGCATTCCGACAAGATCCCTGGGTGGTTCACATTACAGTCTGAGCAGCATTGATACATGTATGCCATATTTAGTTCTATATCCTACTTGGTCACTTACAAACACTAGAAAGTTCTCATTTTCTCTCTGTTCTCCAGTAATAAATCATTAACAACGTCCTGGAAAAAATACATTGTAGAACAGCGAAAGCATTTAGAGATTACAAAAGACTGAAATATAGATTGATGTGTGAATTGGCAAGGAGATCTCTAAAAATCTTTGTGATTTTTCTTGGAGTCTTCACTGTTCTAAAGTTTTTCCGTAATGAAACATTGATTGTTGGAGCTCAAATTATTTCTGAAGTGTTCTATTATTATGTCAGAATGTGAGACAATGCTTACCTAAAAACCCCTTAAGGGAAGAAGGGCAGGAAGTCATTAAAGAAAGCACAGTTGCTTCATTTCTGCTGGCTGAGTCAGGACTGTCAGCCTCCAGCACTCTCCTAATGAATTGTGAGGGGGTGGGGAGAAAGGTGGAGCCTGACTGTGAATAAACTGCCTCAGATGAGAAAACAAAGGCCTTGTGACTCTGGAACACCCTGATATGTTTATAACTCTAGTCAGTACTTTGCTCTTTAATTAGGGAGAGCAAATCTTTATAACTTGCTGGATGAAGAGGAGAGTAGACACAGTGCAGTTTACTTTGGAAAGAGTAAGAAATGACAATCAGTTCTTGGCACTGTGCTGCCAATATTTACTGACAAACGGTAGACTTGGTCAGCTTCCAAGGCATGGAATTAACTTTAAATTCAAATTCAGATTCTAAGTGTTTAAGATCGAATGAATACTTTTGGGGAGACAGCAGCCTTCACAAAATTGGACAGGCATAGGAAGGGAGTCAGTCAGCATCACATGGCACTTGGCGGGGAAACCAAGGCAGACAGGGCAGTGGGAAAGCTTGATAGAGACCAGGATGACCTTAACATTATCCTCAGTTTGACAAGTTTTTTTTTTTTTTTTTTTCCCCCTGAAGTAGCTTCTGACCTCTTTTCTTGGAGCATTTACTTTAGAAACTTTGCTTGTAAAGTCATTCTTTGCCTCTTTGACATAGAATTCTTTCAACTTCTTTTCTGTTTCCCATCAGAGGAATGTCTTTCTTAAGGATCTGGGAGCCATCTCTTGGAAATGTAGTCAATAAAGAGTGGGCTCCTGACTTCCAGTCTCCGGGAGAGGGTGAGAGCCTAACCTTAATATCAATTAGCAAACAAGATGGTTGAAGAATTGAATAGGCCAGCCTCCCCACCATGTCCTCCTGTGTTTTTCAACTAATCTACCCCAGTGCTTAAAAACTCTCCCACCTTTTATTTCAGAGGAGTTGAGTTCAGTCTCTCCTATTGCAGTAAATTCTTTTTTTTTTTTAAAGATTGTATTTATTCATGAGAGACACACAGAGAGAGGCAGAGACACAGGCAGAGGGAGAAGCAGGACTCTGGGAATAAATGCCCTGAGCCAAAGGCAGACACTCAACTACTGAGCCACCCATTGCAATAAATTCTTAAATTTATTTATAAAGTCTTTAATAAATTCTTCCTTGCCTATTCAATTCTGTCTGGTACAATTTTCCTTTGACAGTAGTGAAAAAAGGATGGGTTCATATATGCTCTGATTGGAAGCTATTATCATGGAGAAGCTAGAGGTGGGCTATCTAGAGAAGCTTCTATGATCGGCTTAGGGCTTTCTCTAGTGTTTCGGGAAGCTGGCAGTCACTGACCAAGTTCTGATCTTTCTGGGCTGATTGCAGCGACCAAGTTCTGATCTTTCTGGGCTGATTGCAGCGGAGGCTGTGGGTTCCAAGCTACTTGCTCCACAGATTGTAGGACAGAGTTCTACAACCAGATAATATCAGCCCCAGAAGATTTTTTCCTAAGAGTTAGTTAAAAATACTTGGAAAAGCAATAATACTCAAAATTAGCTATTATATTATTATTATCTGTGCTGTTGTTTAGTTCATTTTTTTTAAAGATTTTATTTATTTATTCATGATAGACATAGAGAGAGTGAGAGGCAGAGACAGAAACAGGCTCCATGCCGGGAGCCTGACACGGCCTGGTTCTCCAGGATCGCGCCCTGGGCCAAAGGCAGGCGCTAAACTGCTGAGCCACCCAGGGACCCCCGGCTTCAGTCTTTAATAGCAAAGCACAGAACATGTACAACAGAAGAAATTCTGTCAAAAGCAAACCAGTGGCTTTTATAAAGATGCTTTTCTGTCTTTTTCCATATGTATCATACATGGCCTGGCCATTGTCCATTTTTATGTTGTCTTTCATTAATTTTAGGAGCATCTTGAAGACAGAAACCAGAAGTCCTAGTCACAGAATTCTGGAAGATCCAGTCACAGAATTCTTTTTTGGAGATTAGTCACATTATATTTATTTCTTAGAAACCTTCAGAGTGCAGCACTGCAAGTAGTTTCCTTATGGAGGTGAAATATGCCCTAATTGTTGGGACCCCAAATACTATATAATGGATTAATGCCACCTTAAGGTAAGGGCTGTGTAGGATCTACCTAGGCATGGATATTACCCACTGGTCACTGAGGTTGT